GAGCCCACAGCCAGTGGGGCCATGGAAGGGGGTGGGGATGGGGCTGCAGAGCTCACAGCTGGTGGGGTCTCGAGGGCAAGCAGGGCTGCCGCCAGAGCTCCCGGTGCTAGCTGGGCAACCGGAGCTAGGGTCCAGAGCAGCAATGGCAGTGAGCTGGGAAGAGGAGCCCAGTGGAGAGGCTAGCACACCGCCCCTCCACTGAGCCCACAGCCAGTGGGGCCATGGAAGGGGGTGGGGATGGGGCTGCAGAGCTCACAGCTGGTGGGGTCTCGAGGGCAAGCAGGGCTGCCGCCAGAGCTCCCGGTGCTAGCTGGGCAACCGGAGCTAGGGTCCAGAGCAGCAATGGCAGTGAGCTGGGAAGAGGAGCCCAGTGGAGAGGCTAGCACACCGCCCCTCCACTCCAGATCTTCCCTGGTCCAAAAAACTCCCTCATCCTGGACCAATGAGGGAGCCGGGGCAGGAAGGGCCAACCTCTTGTAGAAACAGGAGAACTAAAACACCTTGTACGACCCATGTTACACACTTAAAAAAATTACAGGGGACTAACTCATTAGTCACAAGTCACATTTATATTTTGGAAAATCTTTCATCTTTAAAGAATAATTAGATTTTAATTAACATATGAAAAATTGCCTAGAGAAAAAAAGGTTAATTCTTACTTTTTCTTCACAGAGTCTAATCCATAAGTCCCTGCTGAATTGTAATAGCCACACACAGTTTTCACATTAATTGTTTCCTTCATTGTCTCGCCACATTGCTGTATTAAACCATCCTGTGAATAAATCCACGTATATTAAAAAAAATTTAAAACATAAACTTATGGGGTTCTTAGTGATAATTTAGTGAAGACCATTTATAAATATATTAAGTTTTCAAAGTTAGGAGCCAGAACAGTATGACCAAACTCAGAGAAGGAAACTAATATAGCTAAACATATTTAACAGCAACACCCACAATGCTGTTCTAACAGCTAATTTAATCCTATTTACATTGCCTATTTATATATAGGCAATTTTATATTTCAACTAAAACTGAGTCTTAGGCATGTTTACATAAAATTGCTTCACTGATGTGTGATAAATAAGTATTAAGCAGCCCACTCTTTTTCCAATCAGCATTCTGCAAGTGGTTTTTAGAATCCATTTGGAGAAAGAGAGAACTTATTTAACATTTGCTCGAGTGTGCCTTTTAACTACACTCTGAATTTTAATGTTATTCCAAATAAACCACAAGACCACTATACTATCTTAATATGGCCAGTGCTTTATATATTACTTACCAGCTGCAGCATGCAGGCTGCTGCTAGAAGGGCAACAACACGACTGGGCTTTATTAAAACATCATCTCTATATAGTGAGCCAAAGGCTACCTGCAGAGCTAAAAGAGCACAAACTGTCAAATCTAAAAAAAAAAAATATCTATAATCTCATGTTTCATAATGTTTAAACACTAGGGATTCCTTTCAATTTATGCTGGTGCTAAAATTCTAATGTGTTAATCAAGAAAAAAGATAAATTGAAAAAGTTAAATCAATAGAAAGCCAATCGACACAAAATTACTGAACTACTGAAATGCACCTCACTCCCACAAATATGCTGATTATTTTTAACTGGGTTATTAGGAAATATTTATGCTAAAAGTATAACTTCTATAAGCACTGCAGTTCTAGGTACACACAGCATCTATACTCAGGATAGCTCCAAATTTTGATTCACAAAAAAAAATTGAGAACTTTCTAAACAGTTCTTTCGTTCACATTTTTTAAAAGCAGAAGTAATACCTGAACAGTACAACTACTCTGCTGTTTAAACAATTAGTATTCATTCTAACAACTGAAAAAGTACTGGGACCATCAAATAGTTCCAGGGGACCCTAACAGTGCAGAGGGTGATGCCTATAAATTATAACCCCACCTTGCCCATCATGGTAAGAATGCAATGTCAGGTTTTCAAACTGAAATTGTGTCTCTTTGTTAAGCATTCCAAGAGAACACTAAGCTAGGGGAAGAGGTAGATAATAGGGACGTGAACGTGTACTTGGGCTCATGGGTTAACGTACATGGTTACATGCAGCTCCCTCTTCTCCCCCCAGCACCGCTACCTCTGATAAAGGGAGAGGCAAAGCTGCCTTCGAAATTTTCAGCTATTACATATTTACCTAAATAAATGCATTTTAGCATCCCTAGTAAATATGCTGGAGAGTAGAGATTAGGGATGTTAGCAAACATTTCTTTTTGTAAACGTGTAACTGCTGAACGTGTAACTACCTCTCCCACTCCACTCCCATGCTGCGGAGGGGCAGGCAGCTCCACAGGAGCCTGTACATGCAGAGAGCTGGATTGAAAGATGGCTTCCAATGTTTACCAGCTCCCACCTGCCCCCCAACACTGCTGCATCTAGGCAAAGTAGCAGGGGGCAGGGCAGGAGGCTCTGTGGGAGCTGGCTTAAAAGCTGGCTCCCACCTGCCCCCCACCCCACTGCCTCTGATACAGAGGCAGCAAGGGGGAGGTTGCATGTTGTTGTTAGTATTAACCGATAAGCCCAAGTTTATCGGTTAATCATGTAAACTACACACTAGGTTCAGATAGATAGGGTTCAGAGTGACCTAGACAAATTGGAGGATTGGGCCAAAAGAAATCTGATGAGATTTAACAAGAACAAATACAGAGTCGTGATACAAAGCCGGCAGCAAGTGGTAACAGCCCAGGCTTATCCAGTAACTATTTAAATGGTTATACTTTTACATTCCTGCAGAAAAGAATATAAAAAATTCCAATACATTTTCTCAAATCTGTCCCAAGGGGAGAATCGTGAAGAGTACTCCTCTGAGTGGTTGTCTTTCCAAGACAACACAGAAAGAGGTGCTTCATTCAGACACTTGGGTCTCCACAAGTTACATATGTTGTTCAAAGTACTGTTTTAGACTGTATTTCTTCAGTCAGAATAGTGATAGAGATGCAGCCGTGTTAGTCTGGTTTAGCTGAAACAAAAGACGGAACTATGTAGCACTTTAAAGACTAACAAGATGGTTTATTAGGTGATGAGTTTTCGTGGGCCAGACCCACTTCCTCAGATCAATATGTGGAAGCAAATTGGCACAACCATATATACCAAAGTGATACAATCAAAAAAATGAACACATGTGAAACTGACAAATCAAATTTTAGAACAGAGTGGGGCTGAGGGGGGAAGGTTAGTGTCTGTAACCTCCCCCCTCATACTCCCTCTGTTCTAAAATTTGATTTGTCAATTTCACATGCATTCTTTTTTTATTGTATCACTTTGGTATATATGGTTGTGCCAATTTGCTTCCACATTCTGTCTTTCGTTTCTTCAGTCAGTTTCTGAACCTACAACACAGTTGCTGTTATGATCAAAGACTAAACTAAGCCATAAACAACTCATGCTTTCTCTCAGAACAACTGATTAGTTACTGGCTTTTTCAGTCTTCTTTTTCACATTTTTGAAAATGAGCCCTCTCTTTTCAAACAGACATGTCAGATTTTTATCATACAGTACCTGAAGGAAAATTTAAAGGTTGAAAATAAGTGAACTAACAATATTGAGGCAAAGGCCTTTACTCACCTTCTATATCAATATTCTGGTCAGGAATCTCCAGTTCTATGATGTTCATGCTAGACTCCCTCCAAGAACCACTGAACATGCTGGAAAAGTAGCCAGACTATTTAAAAAAAGAAAAAAAAACACAAACACACAAGGAACCATTTCATTCAAATAATGAAAAACTGTAAGAGTTTGACATATTAGCCAAAATTATTAATAATCTTCAGCTATAAATCAAGTAAATTATGGGGTAAGTAAGCTGAAATAATAGTGATATACTTCCATGTCAAGAACTACTAATAATATTTCTTCCAGTTATGTGGAAATATTTATAAACATTGACCAACATTTCAAGTCTGTTTAAAGAAGTAGAGGCATTTGTTTTTCAAGTTATTTTTCATCAATAAATTCAATTTTAAATAGGCCGAAAAGCTGAGAAAAATTCCATTTTAAATCATGATATCCATAGTGCGTACTCATGTCCAAAATTTAAAGTTCCTATAACTATATGTAGACAAAAAAATTCTACAGGAATTGATTTTTTAAGCCAATTAGAAAAGAATACATGCAAAACATACAGATTAATTTACACGATTGTGGTCTCAGACTAAGGACACACATACATCTTAAAATTCATGTGTAGGTAAATTCATACAAACACATACACATACACCGTTTACATAGGTATACCTTTTTTAACAAAGTGTAAGGCATATAAAACTAGTATTTGATAGATTTCCATCCAAAGGAAGTGAAAAAAAGTGCTTTACTAGGATTCAAGATTTTCCATCTCGGCAGAAGGAGTGCCCATTATGTGATGCTATCACACAGTGATGTTTACCTGAGAGATTAAAAAAATAGAGTCTATTTGTACAGTAGCATATCTTCTGTACTATTACCCAATGTTTCCACTGATGGCAGCAAATTATAAACACACGTATCTAAAACCAAAATTTTACTAAATCTATATGCCTCCACCATACTATTTATGAGCAAAGAAATATACCACTGTTGGTTATTGCGCTTTTATTAAGAACCTAGAGAGTTTGTTCCATTCAGATGGAGAGCTTAATATATTCACAGGCTATATCCAAATGTATTGTGCTAACTCCTAGATTTCATGGAGAATAGTGTGTTTTGCAAAGATCAGTTATTTATATACTGTACTGTATAAGTAGTACCTCAGTGCCATCTAGTTGGAAACATTCACTAATTCACAAGCTAGGAGAACTAAAGCTAACAGATGGTGATCAAGACACAGAAGCAATCTATCCAAAATATAAGTAGAGTCGTAGCTTCACCAATAATTTCAGATATACTGTATAATTGAGAAAACAGTTTAACCCTGCAGATTTAGTTTAAATTAAAATAAATCACTTTTGTGAATCAATTTGGAGAGTCAACTCACCAAAATTTCCCTTTACAAAATATCTCAACCTCAGAGACAAGGTTAATAACAATTCAAAAGAATTCTGGAATTTAACTTAATATATTCAAATGCATATTAAACAACAAATGATTTTTCATTAAGCCACATCAAACTTTAAAAAGGAAATTTTACAACTTTTTATGAGATTATGCCAAAGCAATGCTGGAAAAAGAGACTTTCTGTGCTATGCTGGACAAATCACTTAATATACAGCTGAACCAAGACTAGAACACAAGTCTAATTCCAGTCCATATTTGAACCACAAAACCATTCTTCTCTGGAAAGTAAACAACATAACCAAGAGAAAAATAAACAGTTTTATTTGGGATTTTAAGTAGTACAGGAAAGATTAGGCAAATTTTTCACCTCTGACTGGTAACTGCAGAAAGTTAATTCTTTCTGTTAGCTATTATCCATATTTTATCCAAACATGTCCTATTGAACTATTTACACCACAGCACACATATAAAGAAAAAGAACCTTACATTAAGATTTGTCCAAATTTATTTCAACCACTGATATCTATAATATCTACAAGGATTATAATGGAAAGTTTGCCTGCCAACTTTGTGCAATAGTACCAGCAAAAATTGGTAGGATTTTCAGATGTAGCACATGAAAATACTTTATATTCGTTAAAACTATATCCCATAGTGGCTGTCATTTTAATTAAATTATTAATTAGTAATTAAAATATTGTGTATTATGACTTCAAACTATAATTTTGTTTGTCCCAGTTTTTGTCATGAAGAATCCATGGTTTCTCACATTTTTCCCCCCATGACAAAAAACTACTTGTATGAATACTACTCCTTGATAGCAGAATTCCCATTGAAGTGTTACCTTACTCTCCTTATCTGCTCATGTCCCCATGGTCTGCACTACAGGGCACAGAAAGTTTCTGAATATGAAACTAAAAATTAAACTTGAAAACAAAATTGTAGAAATTGCAGTAGCATTTATTCAGAGTTGCTGTAGAGCTGGGTGTGTGATTTTGATTATTTCAATGCTCAACAGTCTCAATTTTAAAATATAAATAACTGAAACAGAACATATTCACAGTTCACAGAAACAGTACACCCCATGAAGTGTATTTATTCTGATTAAATCAAACCCTATCCAGGGCTTCAGTTGGTCAAGGCCTGTTTGGCAGAAATCTGGAGGTTGCCCTGTCATACAAATCTACTAAACAGCAACATGTATAAGACTGACAACCCAACAGTAATCTCAGAGACAGTTACTTGACAAGTAGTGGTTCTAGAATGAAGCAGTAGCGGGCTAGAGTTTGGCTTGATTTCTTCTTATTCAGTTGGGGGTTTCAATTCAAAGGGAGGCTGAGCAGGACCTCAGTCCTGAGGTTGAAATTACATCTGCCACTGTCAGCCAGAAGAATCCTACTCATAGTCAATACCTAGGTATTTGTCTGGCAAACAGCTTAGCTGCTGATGCACATGCACAGGAAGACAACTTCATTCTAAGTAAACTGTCATTCAAGTTCACTAGTGACCTCTTTGGGACATGCACCTTATATTTACAATTAAGCCACTCGAAGATTTGGAAAAAAAGAAGTGCATCTTCGGTATTATTACTTTAAATATGTTTGTTTTTATCTACTGAGCTGACATTACGTAATCAAGTTAAAAAAAAAAAACCCTAGTTGTTTAGAAGCAGAAAGTGCGCTGTTTCTTTCAGGCTAACAGTAGCATTTCTACAGAATCTCTTTCACATCCTACCCATTACTCCTAAGTAAAATAGTACATAATTTTTGGCTGGTTTGGAACAGTTTTGTGCACAGTACAGGCAGTCCCCGAGTTACGCGGATCCGACTTACATCGGATCCGCAGTTACGAACGGGGCCCGTCTCCCTGGTCTCCAGCAGACCAGGGAGAGGAAGCAAAGCGGCGGAGAACGTGGGCAGCGGACAGCCCAGACGCGTCTGGGCTATCTGCTGCCCGCGTGTTCCGCCGCTTTGCTCCCCGCCCCCCCCGT